TCTCACCGGACCAGGCTCTCACATCATCAAGCGCGAAGCGCCGTGAGATGTTCGGCGAGTCCCATGATGGGTGCGCTGCATCCTGTTAAGGGTGTTCGGCAATTTGTGCTTACTTCCTTGCGTACGGATGACAGCTGCGTATGACTTTAATTAATTTCTGGTGCTTTCACTTCCAGAGACAGTTATTGACCAATTTAACACAATGTGGTGCGATCATCCCCCTTGTGCGAAGTGCGGGTTCTCCACCCCACACATCATGATCCACTCGACCACCATTATGGTTACCGCCAAAAATATAAACAGAGGTAAAAGAAAAAACGGTAACCTGTTTGTCGAGTTCACGAAGTGAATTGGCTTGTTTACAACGTCGCTGCCAACCGACGAAAACCCAATCCCGATGGCAAACACCGAGGGGGGGGGGGGGGGATGTACTCATAGTCGTGCATGCCGTAGTCGTTAGACCAGTGATCAAGCATCCCTACAAAACCGGGACGGAGCACGCCNTACATGCTCGCATGCTTGCCCGATTTTGCCGTGCTCTCTGATTATCGCAAGGCTGCGCTTAGCTTTTCGACGGGGGCAAAGTTGTCACTGAGATTCATGATGAGACCCGCGCAACTGCAAAAACTGGAGATGGCTCGGCAGATGAAGGCGATATTAGGCGCAGGAGTGATGCTTTGTCGTATTTGAGATGCGTGGTGAATGGTGGCAGACTGAGTCATCAACGGACGAGTACCTTCCCGAACCTCTCGACCCCCTACTTCCCTCTCCCGGCTTTCCACCGACTTGAACCTTTGCTGCCTTTGCTGCTTGACGTTTGGACCAACGATGGTTCAGCCACGACCCATTAGATTCCGTTTGTGCAGGCCGGGGTCTGCGTCTGTTCAAGTCATCCCTCCACTAAAGAATTTGGAACGTGTCTACGCATGTCGCGGCTGCGGTGCCTTTCTTCTCACTGGCGGACATATCATCAAGGTACCTGCCTCAGGTCCTCAATGTTTTTCCTCTTGCTTGCTACTGGCTCGGACTTCAAACGTGTGTGGGAAGGTGGTCGTGGGGGTATGCTGCTCGTAGGTGCGGGCAAATGATCATTTGTGCAGCGAATCGCTAGCAGGCGGCGCATACGCCCGAATCCCGTGCCGACCAACAGCGTATTGTCGTCTCGTGTTGCCCGACCTTGCACAAAATGCAGCCCAACATCGATCTACCAAGTCTACAGGCTGTCCTCGCTCGCAGCTCCCCGCGGAACCAGGCGGATCAATACGCACCGGATGCCGGTGCTTCGCCCCTCTCTCTCGTTACCTCGAACTCCATTGCAACGATCACGAGCGCCATGGCGGCATCACAACAACAGTCTCCGCCCTGCAGCGGGAGTGCCAGCGCCAGCGGTGGTAGCAGCAGCTGCAGCGGTGGCACGGACACAGTGGTCACCCGCGGGCGCGGTGATAGACGGTCACCTAGCCCGCTGTCGGAGCGGAGGGGCCAGTCTAGGGTGGCGGTAGCGACGACGACGACGGTTTCGGTTTCGTGTGGGTCTCCGACGACGAGGCGGTCGGCCGCCGCTCGACCACCCCCACCACCGTTGCGAGTCATTACCACAGAGCTTGGCCCAGACCGCCCCCCCATGCACAATCGGTGGGCGCCGGAAGGGTTTCTTGCCGGGGTTCAGGCAACAACGGCGGGAGCAGGTCCTCCGTTGCAGGGGGCAACAGTGACGGTTGGAGGGGGCGGGGCAGGGGGCGGGGGAGGGACTGCAGTAGCGGAGGCAGTACGGTTGCAGTCCCCGTTAGGGTTCACGCCTTCCCCAAGCAGGTTAAGACCCTGGGCGGCGGGGCGGTGCAGCAGTGGGGCGGCGACCGGTGGCGGTGGCGGTGAAGGGTGTGCAGGAGACAGCCGGTGCGGAGATGGCCAGCGAAACAGCTCGGTGTTTGCCTTCGAAAGTGAGGACGATTCGAGCAACGTCGATCCGTTTGAGCGGGAGGGGGAGGGGATGCTTGCGGAGGCATATCCCGTGGCCGTGGATGCGATTTACACCGCTAGCGGCAGCGGTGGGAGCGGTGTCATTAGCGTAGGTAGCGGCGGAGGCGGCATGTCGTACCCGGGTTGGGAAAGTGCGGTGGGAAGCGGAGGAGGAAGCGCGGGGTGCCGGAGATTACGCCGGGCGACTGGGACACCTACGAACGCGACCCTGCAGTCCGGAGAGTTTAATTTGATGCTGTCTTCAAAAGTGCCGTTGTCCGCGGGCTCTGGGATGGAAAGCGTGAGCCCCTTAATGACCCCACGATCTCCCAGGACGCCCGCTTCGTGCGGGAGCACCAGTCCATGCGCGTCGGACGGCTCATTGTCGAATAGCCTAAGCAGGCCGCAGTCGGCTGAGAAGCGGCAGTTCTTGATGCGGGTGAGGCTCGTTCTTGTTTTCTAGATCTCGGCTAAGGCTCGCAGACGAGCTATCAGTCTCAAAAGATTTGGGTACTGGCGTGAGCGATCTTGCGGGAAAGGTCGGGATTTCATCAAGGTAACGGCACGCAAACTCGGTTCGCACGCATGCACACAGATGAGCCAGATGGAATCTCGAACACTGGCGACGACCGGGTCGCCTAGCTTCCCGGACACGGAGAACCAAAATGAACGGCCCACCTCGCGGCCAGGGGGTCGATGGCTACACGTCGATCTGTTGGACTGGATGGGAGATATCATGGTAGCACCGACCGGCCACATCTGCTGTCCCAGCTCAGGATGCGGGTGAGACGCGCGTAAATACCGTGAGCGGGCCTGGGAGGGAGAGGACTGCTTTGTACGATTCAGTTTGTCTCGGATGTCTGTTGATAATCATATTCATCAGCGGCAGGCCGTGTATAGAGAGAGAAAGAGCACTATCTTTTCCGCGTGCAAAGCATCGCCTTCCCCAAGCTCATGCTTGATCTTCAGGGATACACAACAATGTTGCTGTCCGCACTCTCACTTCGCATGCCAACCGGTCGACTCGTATCGCGGTTAAGAGTAGGCCGATTTGGCGATAGCCGCCCTTATTCATGTTGTCTTTGTGTATGTGCGTCGTTTGCTTGCAACCGAGGAAGAGTTGAGCTTGGAAACTGGTCGTGGGAGAAGCCGGAGGCGGCAGGTCTGAAGTCCCCGACGGGTCCGCCATTGATCCGCCTGGACAAGGCGCTCATCAAAACCACGAGGTGCCGCGTCGGTGTATGCAAGTTGTATGTCAATGTCCATGGGTTCTCGCAGGTGTGAGGTGTTGGGTGGTTTGTTCAACATCAAGTGTGCTCGGCGAGGTGCGGGGTTTGCTATTGCGTCATGATAGACATGATCTTGTTTTCGCAGCGACGGGGACACGCAGTGCAATGACTGGCGTTTTCGTTTCGCATGAAGAGAAGAAGGTGGCGTTTACACCGCGAGAGAAGAGGCGTCCAGGCCTGACGTTGTTCAGCCGATTAACGGTCCAGTTAATGCAGGTCAGTCCTGTGTTTCGCCGTCCCCCCGTACAGAGTAGCTGTTTACCTGTCTTTGCTTTTCCCTTCTTGCTTGTTCCTCACCCTTGCAGAATGCTCGCTCCTCTCCATCTTGATTTATGTCAGCAAGCAGGAGTTGAAATTGTGTCTGCGGTGTGAGTAGGGACGCGGATCACTACGGTACGATCATGGGTGCCTTCCCACGCAGGTCATGCTTTCAAAAACTCCAGTGAGATACGCCGAATCTCACCCACCGATTCGAAGCAAGTTTCACCTTCAACTTGGAGAACGTTAGCCTCAGGGACAACGCTCCACGACCAGAGTGGTTAGTTACTCTATCGAGATCGTCGTCGGACAGAAAGAACGCCGCCTATACCCCCACCCATCCCTTCCCACCCTGCTTTCCCCCATTACCCCTCAGCTACATGCGGTCGCAGCTAGACAGCAGTCGATCGAGTCTGAGCCGAGACAACACGCCCAAAGGCTCCCCGTGTGCCAGTGCAAACAGTCCAAGCAAGGGCTCTCCTGGAAGTGCTTTGCCGGAGTCGGATTTGAGGCGGTCGTCCGGTATTTTAGAGAGTAGGTTGGCTGGGCTGTCGGCATCGCCGCAGCTCACACAGCCCGCGCAAGGTTCTCCCGGGTAGAGCATAGCCAGTATCCCGCGTCCCCGGTATTTTGTTCTATGTATGCTGTCTCATGCCGAAGTTTACTTTTCCAGATTTTGTCTTCTTTGTTTCAAAGTGTTAAAAGTGTTTGAGTGCTGTTTTCGCCGAGAGGGGGCAACTCAGCTGTGAATTGAGCCGGGAATGCTGGACTGCTGGTGTTTCGGAGGGGGTTGGATGGGTGGGGGGCATTGTAAGAGTGCAACTGATGGCAATATGTCACCTTGCAATTTGTGAAATTGTCGGTGTATTTTCAGCCCAACAGGGTCGTGGTTTTATTTATATGACTATTTACAAGACGCATATTTAACCCTTGAATTGAAAACGTGTTGATTGCCTTCCGGACTTGCAAGAGAACTACTAAGAGGTATGTGGGGTGGCATGGGTGTTGCTTTGCCCCGCTTTAGTCATCCGATTGTGGGACATGAGCATCATGCCAAACAAAATGTTTTTTCAATTTGAGGAGGATCCAAGTGCGGCGTCGTGAGCACAGGGTTCTTTCGTCACTACCCGTGCACCTCCGACTAAATGGTTCTACGAGGCAAATTTCCCAAGGGCGAAGTTATTCCCTCCGCACATAAAACTATAGCGTACAGAACCCATGAAATGTTTGCAACACCAACCACAAGAGATGCTTCGCCACAGTCATACATAGCTCGACTCTGCTGGACGTTCCTCGTGCCGGTTCACTGGCGTACACTTGAATGTAGGGTATGAGCCTTCATGCGTGCTTCGGTGTAGCGACAGCACCAATCAGGTCATGCATGTATCGGTTTATCCGTGACGTATTTTAGTCCAAGATCGCTTCTTCCTCAGGCTTTCGCCCATTGCAGAAAATTCCCCACTGCTGCCTCCCGTAGGAGTCTGGACCGTGTCTCAGTTCCAGTGTGACTGGTCGTCCTCTCAAACCAGCCCCAACCCCAGCATTTTTCCAAAATTGATTCTTCTGTCTTCTGTCTTCTGTCATTTGTCTAACTTTTTTTTGTTATATGCAATGTAGTCCCGTTATTTATTGTGCTTGCACTGTAGGCTAAACAGAGATAAATTTATGTTACATTCCAAATCCAATTGTCAAATTCTTCTTTAGTGCAAGCTGTGTGAGTGCGAGGAGGATGGCTCGCCCCGACCTGATCATTCTCCATCTCTCTCTCTCTCTCGTTCACACTGGTCGGTTTTTCTGAAGACCTCCTTTCTACCGAGTGTCCGGCTTGAGTCCTTCGACTCTCCCTCAACTACCTTTCTTGGCTGTGTAAGCACCACTTCGAAACATCCTTGGCTCTGCAAAACAAGTGCTTTGCGAGCCTCTGCAAAGTGTCAACGGACAGTCGCCGCTTACAATATACCACTAGGTGACGAACCAAGATCCAACATGGACTTGAGCCATAGGTTTGCTGGCTGCCGCCGGGTACCCAGTGCTGTCATCACTGCTGCTCCAGAATGGGCGAACGTATCTACGTTGCTCTTTATTACCCCCTGTATCTGATATTACTGTACGGTAGGTACGGTTGCCGGCACCGCACCCCAGGTTTTATCTCCACTTCACACAGCCAACGACCACACCGGGAGGCAGATAGATGGCGGTGCTGTTGGAAGTATGACGACAAAGAGGCGAATAGCACACGTATGGGCAAAGGTCGAGCCTCCCGCCATCAACCATACACCAGATCCAATCAAGGTAATCTGCTGCATGGACACGCGCCGACGTGAGCGAACTAGAAACGATTAATTCGATATCTTTATTTCGCGCCCTTCGTCTTGTCAGGAGGCGGGTCGACATCGTCTCTGATGATGTTCCACATGGGGATGCCCACCCCCCGCCTCAGCACCTTCCCCTTCTTGCTCACTAGCAACACAATCCCGTCCTTCCCCGAGGACTGTGCCACAACGCCTTGTCTCTCTGCTGCCTCGAACTCCTCTCTCATGAGTGCGCGCCATCCATCTTCCTGTACACGCGCGCCACCAGAAGCGGAAGGGCACGTATCAGGCAGGAATCGTGTTCATCACGAGGCGAGGGTCTCCGCAACGAGCTGCGCAACTCAAACTCGTCCTTGGAAGCATCATTCCATACGAGGCAGTCCAGTCCGCGCAGGGGTGTCGATATAGAATGAAGAAATCAGGCTGAGCCTGACACCTTGAGAAAATCGAGATCGAATATCGAGCCTCTACTACCTCAAAAGAAACGGTGAACCGGCGGGTTGTCGGAGTAGATAACAGTTGCTCACTGCGTACACGACAGCGGAGAATTGTTGCCTGCTAGCGAGACTGCTTCGGCAGCAGAGCAACGCGCTCAGGGGGGGTGGAGAATGTATACGTGCCATTCGTCCCAAGCAACACTGCGGCCAGGCATCGTTGTCATCTGCTTAGATCCACAGTAAACTGATTCCTGACGCACACTCACGTCGACAGGAGCGGCCACGTAACCCTGCTCCTCGTAAGACAGCGAAGTTCCGAAACCTTTCGCTAGTCCTTTGGCCCCCTTGCCATCGCTAGCCACCTCCATCTCGACCGGCACCACCAACAGGTTGAGGCTGGGGAAAATCTGGTTCTTGGCGAGCATCGCGGCCAAGATGCTGTCGCGGACGAACTCTTTTCCTCCGGCTAACACGCAAAATGCTTGCTTCGCCTCGTCCATGAGAACGCCCACTGGCGCCTGTTGGTGTATGCATGTGTTTCAGCTACATCGAGGAGTAGATATGGAACAATTGTGAGTGTCCGAGACAGTTGTATTGAGGACGGGGAGGTTGACTCAAAAAAATTGCAAAAATTGTCTGGACATGAAGGGGTATCCCCGATTGATCACGCCTCGAAAGCAAGACGACAAGACACATAATCAGGCCTATGATCCTCTGTCCCACATCGCCTCGCTCGCGCGTACGACCGGTTTTAGATGCACACCCCATCGACAATGAACTACAGGCCCGTATCGCAGGCTCATACATCAACCAGACCTTGGAGGGCCTGGCAGCCTGGCTCGTCCGGTACCTACCCCCAGATATGTAAACACGACCTCGCGCACCTCTTTCGCTCCTTCGAGTTCAGCACCATTTCCGCTGCCAGGAACCTTGACACTAAGGGCCCGCAGCTGTTTCACTCTGTCGGCGTTGACGTCACTGGTTATCTTGGTGGCCTTTAGTTTCTGCCGCTTCTCCCGGTTGGCCGCTTCCACTTGCTCCAGGTCTTCCTGCTGTGACCTGCCTCCAAAAGCGGCCGTCACGCAAGTGCTCATGCATGCATGCGAGTAAGCAAGTTTGTCAGTGCTTCCACGCCGACTGACTGATGGCCGGCTAGAGTAGAACATCGACTCACAAACCCAAACATTGACGCCCAATATACAATTGTACCAAATATGCGGAGGGCTTCATTTCTGGGTGAGGTTACGCCGGGCTATCCCATGGTGTGGCAGCAGCTCCGCCCCCTTGCAACGGCGAACTCTTGCAAACCTACGGAGGAACCGCGAATGAGTTGGTCTCCACTCTCACTTCTTTTGTACGGTAAACATTTGATATTCCTGAGTTGTCATTTTCTGGGTCATGGCGGTTGCTGAGTACTCCAGTAGGCTTTCAAACATGGCAAGCACTCATCATGAAACCGACCCAAACGTACAACAGACGCGAACTGTACGTTCGACATCTACCGTTACGACGGCCTTCAACAGTAGATGCCAAGTATCAAGCGACGAGGAAAGACATATCTCACGTTTCGAAATTGTAGCAGAATGCAGCCGCGGCCATAACCCCGAAGTCCACTAGGAGGTTGATCAGCACCTTCTGAAGCTCCAGGGCTCCCGGCTGGTCAGAGAGTGCTGGAAGGAAGGAATTTTTGAAACACAGTTGGCCCGACTCCCCAGTCACGACCAAAAGAGCAGGATGGTGGGTAGATGAAATCGGAGTGGTCAGAGGCTACCTCAAAGGCACGGCCGGACTACGAAACAAGTGTCCAGGACAACATAACCCGTGGGAAGTTTTGCTCGGCTGATACACTGCGGTTTTCAACAGTAAGCAAGAACTTTTCAGCGGCACCACCAACAACGGCACATAGCCGAAATGAATGACACCAAAGTTTCGACATTTTTGACCTTCCACTATTGACTCTGCTGGAGCAGCGCAATAAATATCCAGGGATGGTCAATAGCAGCCCACCCCCCTGTCTAGCCTATCACACATCGACTCACTTGCGGCTAGTTGGGTGAGCGATGTTATTCCGCCGATCAGAGCAGACACACCAAAAGCCCCGTAGATGAAGATCCGAAACTGTTTTGGAGGGATGAGAAAACATTAGCGCGAAGCCGCCGTGCGAGCGGTTCAGCATACACCACACATATTAATGGCTGTAAACTAATTCACACAAGAATGTAGGGGTTAGTTTAGACGCGCACCACCTCCAAAAACACGATAGCAAGAGGATCATCACATCAGTTGGCGCTGAGGTGAGTGGATAATGTTTTGTGCGAACGCTGATGGCCTGATGGCGTAAGTGAGCAGAGCAGTGCGGAACAGAAAGGGCAGCGGATAACAGAGCGAACCATGCAAACAAGTCCACAGGGAAATGCGAAACGGATAGGTACAGGAGCAGCATGTTTTCACATGCTTAGCCTGTTGCGTGAGACCACGTGGCACCAGTGAGCGCGAACCCATTGGTGTCATCCAAAAGCTTTAGATACCGCTTGGGCAGCGGAACAGTATTACACCCCAACCACGCTGATCCAAGCACGCTGCGTGGTTGGGTTTTACATTTTCAGCCTTGCCAAGGCGGGGAAATCGGCGGATGAGTGGCCTTCGCCGCTGACCCGGGAAATATTGCCCGAGACGACGGCAGCACTTACCGTGCGGAACGGAGTTTTTGTCTCCGCCTTGAGCTTGTCAATGTTAAACGCCGGCGTCGCTACCTCGTCGTCTTGTTCATCCGACTGCGAATCTGCATCTCCCTTCTCCGTGGCAGCAGCGACGCTGTTTTGGAGAGAGAGGGAGTGGATCATGGGAGGATTCACTGAGCTTTCTGAATACCATACGCAGGGCTGTGATCGGTGTTGCCCACATCGCTTGAAAGTACCCACAACAAAACTGGGTTTAGGGAATTCGTGTCAAACTGTGATACGGTCGAATTGCTGAGACATTGATTGGTGGGGCTCTGTTGCGCGTTCAGGCTGGGAAGGCTCGATACATGAAGAAAGGGGGTGGATCCTTGGAGTAATAGCTGTGCGGCCAAGCCGCCTACTTTCCGGGTCTAGCCCCCCAGAGGCCCACGACATACGAAGTACATCAGCATTACCATGAAACAAACTGCGACAAGCCTTGGCTAAGAGGAGGGGGGGGAGGGGGGTACTAATGGTCGTGCATGCCGTAGTCGCTAGACCATTGACCTCGCATCCTTACAAAGCCGGGACGGAGCACGCCGGGTTCTCACCGAACCAAGCTCGGGGCCCATTTTCGCGGTAACAACACGGTGGGGTTTTTCACTGACACATAAATTCAGCGAAGCAAGCGTCCTCCATATAACTTCAGTCTCCGAACGACCTGCGAATAGCTAGAAAAACATAGATTTTTTCCTCCCGTGCATTCGTGTGCCCTGTGCCCCCTCGCTTGAAAGGCGTGCTTGATGATTTTCGGTGATATACTTGAAGATGGACATGGCTGGGTCCACACAGCAGTACCCATCCGGTACGCAACCAGAGCTTTTCTTGAAAGAACCGGTTTCAGGACAGGTGGATACTATCCTTGTTACCCATAACAATACACTTCGCGGGGAGGACGCAGCAGTCGCAGAGATGTGCGCCCGCCTGGCGCGGCCGAGCAACAACGCAGCAACACCATGTCCACCATCATCGCGTGCAAGTCTGAAAACAAATGAACAACACGCGTTCTTGTTCCCATAGACCTCTTCTCTCGCATGATTGCAACACTCCTGTGCATGGCCAGTCCGAATATTATTCAATACGGTAGCAGTGTGTAATACGTATTTGTGTGTTGCGCACAACCTATTGCATTTTATCTTCATGTGTCATGTGTTGGCTGTGGACACTTGTAGGTCGATGGATGTTTGGAACTAGGTCGGATTTCCAGACGTGAATAATTCCAGCTCTCCCCTGTCCCGCACCTCTCGATGAGCTCGAGGCGGCCAGCCTTTCCCTTTCCTTTCTTCCTCCCTTTGGCCATCATCAGGGGACCGGCAGAGCTTGCACGACGATGCAGGTTGGCTTGGCTGCTGGAAACATGACATGAAGGGCATATTCCGCCGCTTCCGTGTGAGAAATATGCTCGGTTGATAGAAGAAGTAGTCCCGGGTGTGCGTGCAATACCCCCGAAAGACGCAGGTACGAAGGAAACGCACCCATGGGTTACCAGCCCCAGTATCAGCGCGGTCGATCTCCAACGAACCATGCTGTATGTGTGTATTGGTCCGATCGTGGTGATGCTGCAAGCAACGAGAGCAGGAAAGATGGCCGGGGGGGGTTCCGTGATTGCAAGCGAAGGGGATTGGCCCATGTGGTCCGGAGAGAGAGCACATCCGCTCATCGCTCCCGCAGACACACACCCAACGCAACCGGTGGAGAGCCGAGGAGCGTGAAGAGATCAAGTGCGCGAGAGAATTGGAGAGTTGTCTGAACACTGACTGCTGCAGCTCAGCTCTTGCCAGATGTATATCCGAGGCCTGGGAGGCCTGGCAGTGTCGCTGGCCGCTGGCTATGCGGCGCTTCTGGTAGCGTTGACACCATCAGCCTTTGCGAATGTCATCGGCATCGACCTTGGGGTGGACTTCATGAAGGTGCGGCGGGTGGAAGTATCAGATGGAACTTGTGCATGCGTGATTGCGTGCGATGGCCATAGAGCTGTGCAGTGATGATCTGGTGCGTCCGATGGGAAGACGGTTGGTGGATATCAGCGAGAATTTACGCCGCCACCGGGGCTCCGGCATCGTCAGTCGCACACTTGGCGGCGCACCGGACAGGCGATCAAACAGCGTGCCAAGTGGCAACACGAACCTCACATCTACGGTGTACGCAGGGGAGCATGTGCATGCCGTTCGTATGCACCGATTAGATTTTCTCTAGCCGGCTGCAGTTGCCCGGCTCACCACCCCTAGTTGTCCATTTGCTACCAGGGTATCAAGAGTAACCGCTCATAACGGGTGATGGTCGTAGGGTGTGTTCGCCCTCGTGTTCGTGGTGCGTCTAGCTGCTCGAGTGTTCGAGCCGAGTCAACGACACAGCGACTAGAGGTCCTTTGCGCCATGGCCCAGCTGTTTCCCCTTTTCAGCAAGACTATCTATCTCTGCCGACTACTTCTTCCTTGGCATAGAGTTTCACCTGGCGCAAGATTCTCAACCGTCTCAAGCGGTGCAACGTTATTGGTGTGGTGTCTATTACCTTTGAGGTGGTACACTCGGCCTTCCATTCCCGGCAGCAGCAGCAGCAGCAGCAGCAGCAGCAGCCAGCAGAAAGTCCGTGTTGAGCGGAGAAACCAGGATGGAAAATTGTTGTGTTCGTCCCACGTTCTGTCCTGCACTGGACAAAGTCTCGAATCAAGCATCGCCCTGTGAACTAACCGTGTGTACGCAAGAGCCTAGATAGGGTCATCCCCGACGCTCAAGACAACTGGCTTGTTCGAGCTCGGAGCACTTGTTTTTCATTGGAGTTTATAATCATTCACATTATTCTTCAAGTAACAAGTACGACCCCAGGCTGTCCAGTAATCCCGAAGTGGGTCGAAATCACATCAAAGCTCCATTTTCTAGCGGCACAATCATCGCGCAGGTTGTATCGGTCTGAAACGCGTGAATGATCCAGCAGTGATAAAGCGTTTGTCGCCCCCCATCTCGTTCTGCTATCAGATTGCTCTACTCAAATAGTACGAAGTACTGAAGTACTCGGAAGACTGCAATTGCATCAAACGTTCACACAGGGACCACCCAGCGATGCCACAGCACGAACCAACCATTGATGTGAAATAATTGTCCCCAGCGAGCGAAGCAACGCCTCAGCAGATGTTTTTTGTTCCGTCTCTTTCTCTCCTCTACCCGGATTGGCCGTTCGTATTCGCGCTATGTACTCTGTCCAAGTCACCGCTACTCTACCTTGGCCTCATGTCCACAGACGGGACAGCAATGGCCGAGCTTTAACAGTTCGACTGCTGTGGTGGTGTCAATAACCCTTTTTTTTTCCCTCATGCGCAGGTCGCCCTGGTGGCACGAGGGAAACCGTTGGAGATCGTGACTAACGCGGCCTCCAAACGTAAGACAGAGATGGCCGTCAACTTCGACCGCGGGGAGAGGAACTTCGGCTCCGACGCGTATGCTCTCGTGTCCCGCAAGCCCAAGCAGACGTACACCAAGATGACCACTATGCTCGGTGAGAGGCTCGAACGAGCTTTGGTGTACGTCGAGAGGGTTGGGCGGTGTTGATGAACGTAATATTTTTCCTGTGTCTTGGTGCACGGTTGTCGCGTGCTGACTTTGCCAGTCTCACGCGTCAGGCATCGTAGGCTACTGGAGCACTATTCGTATTGCTTGCGCTTGTAACTGCAGCACAGCGGTAGGTAGAGATTCGTTTTTACTCTTCCCAGTACGACACAAGGCGCTGGGGCATTAGACGAAGCTATTCACAAGGTACACCAAAGAACTGTCTCCAACGCAGTCCTATTCCCACACCATTTCCCTCGAAACGATGAGCTGTCTGACCGTGGCTTTAACTTTAACCTCTTCGCTTTGCATGGCTTGCCGCCATGGCCAATAGGGCGAGATCTGGAACACCCATCCCTCGCGCCCATCTTGTCGAGGCTGCCTAATGACGTTGGCTTTAAGGCAGACGAGGGAGGGGTGGTGCTCAGCCTCAACGACAATGGGGCGGAAGCTGAATATAGTGCCGTGGAGCTCGTAGCTATGATCCTTAGCAGTGCACAGGTGAGCTCTTGGGCATACGTCTTGGGCGAACGTTGTGCAGTCTGTTTCCGACAACAACATCGTTCCTTACGAAAGTCGTTAATGGCAACGAGGTTTGGGGGGGAATGCGTGTACGGTGCGGGCGACGCACTTGCGTCCAGTCGTTGTTCCTACGAGTGTGCAAGCTTGTGAGCTAGAAGTAGTTTGCAATAAAAGTGTAGCCGCACGTCCGACATAGAACTCCTGAGGATGTGATCTCAAGAATGCTGTGTTTTCCACACACAACGACGTTGCTCTTTGTGTTCGTTCCGCTACTACCATCGCCCACCCGCCGGCTCACTCGCACACTGAGCGCGCTGAACTCAACAAATGAAACCAACTCGAACCGATTTTTCTGTTGTACTCTATTTCAGGAAATGACTGGCATGTTTGGCTACAGCGTGAACGACGCGGTCATCACGGTGCCGGAGTTCGCCACGGCGCACGAACGCCGCGCTCTCCTGGACGCCGCGGATGTGGCCGGCCTTACGGTGCTGTCGCTCATGGATGAGAACACCGCGGCAGCGCTGCAGCACGCCATTTCACAGACGTACGAGGAGGACACCAACGTGATGTTCTACAACATGGGTGCCAACTCCATCAAAGTCACGATTGTCACCTTTGGGCCCAAGAAGATAAAGGACAGGAACGTGGGCAAGCTGATAGTGAGAGGAAAGGGCTGGGATGCTTCCGTCGGGGGGTGGTGGTTCGACCTCAAGCTTGCCGATGTGTTTGCCGAGGGTTTCAATGCGAAGGTAACTAAATGAGAGTGAATTTTTAAGTCAGGTGTTTGGAAATACAGTCTTGCCATCGGAGGTTGACGGGATAGTTAGGCACCACGGGGCGGTGACGCTGTTGTCCTTTATTTTCCCGCGTTCTCCCTCTTCTTTTCTCACACTCTGCTGTGCTGTTCAATTCGTTGTTGAGATCGATTGACTGATCCTGTCAATGTTTCACGGCCGCAGTGGGGCAAGGGCGACGTCCGGGAGTTCCCCCGACCGATGGGCAAGATGATCACCCAGGCCACGAAAGTCAAGAAGGTCCTTTCGGCCAACGCCGAGATCCCCGTGAACCTCAACTCCCTCCACGATGACGTGGACTACTCTTCCACCGTGACGAGAACGTCCTTCGAGGCCGCCAGCAAGGACCTGTTCGAGAGGGTCACCGGACCTATCGATCGAGCTCTCGAGCAAGCGGGCATGAAGCTGAGCGACATCCAAGAGGTGGAGATCATCGGCGGTGGTTCGCGGATCCCCAAGGTAGGTGTGCTTGAACGAATGAATCCTGTTTTAGTGTATCCATCGACGCGAGGCGTATGGTCTCGCCGGGTGCGGAGACTCGTAAGATGTGGAAATGTCAATCAATGACGTTACTTCGAAGTAATTTATGTATCTACTGTACAACGGCAGTAGGTGTTGGCTTGACTGATATCGTTCTCCCTCGGTGGATTCGGTTCGGTCAGGGCTGACTAGGTCATCCACCGCTGCTGAATTTACAAATTTTACTTGTTGTGCGCCTGTTGACCTAGGTGCGAGAAACGCTGTCGAGATATTTATCGATTGGAGTCGACCAGCCGCTTGCGCTTGGAGCCCACCTCAACGGCGACGAATCCCCCTGGTGAGAATGAAGAAGCCGGAATTTCCTTCCGGACTTACCAATCGCCCCTCGTCCCGATCTGCTTTGTTTCTAGTTCCTATGGCCATCCTCACGATGCGTGCATCTTTAGCATGGCATATTACTAGGACTGCGGCCATGCAGTCAGATAGCTACACGACCTTTTTGGCCAAGCGTTCGTGATTCCATCGGTTACTCAATGTCCTCCTTTCCCCCCCCCCGCTGTGCTCTTGTGGACATGATTTTCGCTCGCCGTGATCGCTCGGCAAAACAATGAACATGGTCACCTGCCCATGCCAATGCCTTCTCCGGATAATAGCCTGGGTGCTGCATTCCGCGGCGCCAACCAGAGTCGTGCTTTCGACGTTCGCAAGGTAAGCCAGTCCTAGAGCAAGTATTGGAAGTCCGCCTTCATTAACAGTCTGCGCGAGCAAGCTTTTTCGCGGATGGCGTTCGAGCGCTGTGGTAAAGACGGCGCGCATCTACCTGCGGTTTCTTGTGTTAATATGGCTATATCCAGGTTAGGCTGGGTGATACCCAGGCAATAGGATCAGCACGTGGTGCGTGGTGCTTTCGTTCGTGACCCTCTAAATATCCGCTCTTCGCTCTGCGACGGTGCCCTCTCGCAACCCTCGCGGGAACCTGCAACCTCAATACTTGAATACTTCAACAGGTTGGGATGACGGACATAACTCCCTGGGCTGTAGACTTGAGCTTTGCTGACTTGGATGAGTCGAAGGGCTTCAAGGGCGTCTTGGGAGGGCTGTTCGGAGGAGGCAAGAAGGACGGGAAGGACGCCGCGCCTACACTCAAGACTGCGGGGGAGGTTTTCAAGGAAGTGCCGCTGTACGGCGAGAACACGCCTCTTCCTCT